TGCCAGGTATAGTTTCTGTTGTTGCCATGGTGATAGCGCCAGCTGTCCGTGAGTTTATGTTTACTTATGAGGTTGGATAAATATCGTGCTGTGCGAGGTGCGGGTTCGGTGCTGTGAATTCTGTCTTGGTCTGGTTTAATAGTGCAGTTGAAATCTCCGCCGATAATTATTGGATCTTCGTTCAAGCCGGAGAGGAGTGTAGAAAGTTTAGTGAAGCAAGCAATGCGTTCACCAGGGTCCGTAGGTGCGTATATGTTGATGATGTTGGTTTGGATATCGTTGATCCTTACATTAGCGTGTATTAAGTGTCCGAGGATTGGTTCAGATTTGCTGGTTATTTCTATGTTGGAATTTGGAGCGAATAAAATAGCTGCCCCCGCACTGTACGTAGTGGCGTGCGATAGAATGCATTTTCCCCTCCATATCAACGGCCAAGTTACCTTGTCTCTAGGATTCGTGTGAGTTTCTTGTAATAGGTAGACGTCTGCTGTGTTGTTATGTTTTAAAAACTCAAAGATTTGGGAACGTTTGAGTGAGTCCCTACATCCACGCACGTTAAGGGTTAAACACGACAGAGCCATGGACGTGACTAAAAGTATATATGATGTAAACTTTGTGTATTAACATGTTGGTTGCAAAGGTGGCGTGTTGTCCTCAACTGCGGTGGCTCTTCCGGTTGATTTCAGGTGGCTTCTTATTTTAGTGATCATTTTGTAGATTCGAGCTTGTTGTGATTTTATTAGTGACTGTGATGATCGGTATTTCATTAGTTGTTTTGAAGTTCTCTGAGGTTTGGGTTGTATTTCATACACTTTTCTATGAACCTTTTTGAATGTTTGACGTCTTCTAGAAATTCTATAATCGATGTAATAGATGCTTCGCAAGATTGTGATATTTCTGACAAATCGGACATTACTGATTCGTTGTCGTCTGTTTCCTGGGTTGTGTTCTCAGATAGAGTGTCGATGTTCTGTGTCGTAAGCGGCGAGTATCGAGTACTGCCGATACTGTCCGGTACAAACCCAGGCTCTACCAGTGGTGGCGTGGCAAGGGGCGGTGGTGATGGAGGCAATGGCGAATCGAAAAGGAAAGGTGCAGAGGGGGTGTTGGAGTAGGGGTTAGTACCCTATCTCTTTCGTCATCATCATCATCATCATCACGGTGGTTATTTTCGGTATCAGTATCGTTGCTAGTGGGTTGTTGTTTGTAATCAGTGTTGTCGTTGTTGTTGGTTGCTCTTTCGGTGTCAAAACTAGTATCCATTAGTTGTTGATCAGTTTCAGGCTGGTCGTTTTCGGTGTGTACGTCCGGGGTATTGTTGTGTGCATTTGGCTCGTGTGTTATAATAGCCTGATCGGTTACGTCATTTGGTGTGCTTTCGTTGCTGTTGATTGACTCGGTGTTTACTTTGTTGGTTATCTCATTGTTGCTCATAGGTTCCGAAGCTGGTACACAGTCATTGGTTGGCTGTTGATCTACGTGGGCAGATGTTTTGTTGTTCGGGTGCTCAGTGGCATCAATAGTAGTATTGTTGTCAGGTGTTTCAATTGACTGTCGTAAGTTTGGACAGTTTCTTTGTATGCGACCTGTTTGTTAGCATTTAAAAACATCTCATTTGGTCTGCTGACAAATAAACTTTGTAGCTTTTTTCTTGGAATTGTATATCCGTTTGCCCATATAGTTCACCCCGTAAGTCAGAAATCAGTAGTACAAATGCGTATCTCCGGAAAGATTTTACATGTTTAAGGGCCTCGTTCTTACATCCCAGTGGTATAGATCGAATAGTGCTTATAACTTTACCAAATCGTGACAATTCATTATGAATAAGCGCGTCAGGTATAAACGGTGGTACACCGGAGACCAGGATCTTTGTTGCAGGTTTAATTAGTGGCTCTACGTGTATCACCTCCAAACCTCTAGTGCAGATGTCATTCACCCAGGTGACCGAGCTAAGAAAAACAATCACGGAACCATTCACACTTGATGCCGCTACAATATTCTTAGGTCCAGTAATCCCGGCAATAGCTTCTAAGTAAATTTCAATCCTAGTCCCATCAATCGATTCACACTTAATGGCGTGTTTTCTTGTTAGGCCAGCAAGCGACTGGGTTGGTCTATCTTCGGCATCGGGTTGGGACGCCATCTTGCTTTTTGCCAGTACCGAGTTGATTTTTCTTTTTTGGAATTCAATAAAAATGTCAATGTAGCTCACCTATGCAGAGTAGTTGTATTCACAAGTATACTATCGCTGTGTTTTAGCGTGTACGAGTTCTACAAACTTCGGAAAGGCTTGTAAAGCGAGAGCACTGTGACGCCACATTCTACTCGGGTGACATCATCATCATCATCACCACCACCACCACCACCACCTCCTCCTCTTCCTCCTCCTCCTCAGCCTTTCACGCCACTGCTGGCGGATGGCCTCCACAGAAGCTTCATTGTGTTGTGGGGTTGAACCGTAACTCACCACGCTGGTCCAATGCGGGTTGGTTTAATTGTATAGTTCGTAATAAATATGAATAAATCAGTATCATCGGCGAATAGTTGAATATTAAACACATTGGCAGAATTAAAAATATAATAGATGTAAACAACAAACAAATTATGGCCCAGAATTCATGTGGAATTTAACAAGTAAAGATGATATGCTTAGATGGAAGATTGTAAATATATATTTCGTTGATTACTTTCCACGTCGTATTAGTGGTACCAATAGCAGCTGAGATCTGATTTCTAAAATACAATTGTTGGACAACTTAAGGAGCTTGGTAAACATGTTTCTATATTGTTTCCATTTCAGTGCAAAGCCTTTGTGCAGTAATAATAGATTTAACCATAGCTTTGATTAGCCATGGTTTGCGAATAGAATTAGGGCGTTTATGAGCTGATTTTATCTTAACGTACTTTGACGAAAGTCGATTAAAGATATCATAAAATGCCGAACCAAACCTGCAATTTTCCCTAATTCATATTATGTCAATTTTGGTAATTACTTTCAACACAGTTTTCAAGGACACCAGAAAAAAAAAACCATTCACATATTTGCGATTTAATATTTTTTATTTTACCAAATTGACTGCCAGTCGATTAAATTTCATCAAAATTAAGAAATAACCGAAGTGGCTGTACAACCCATTATGTTTTGACGTTGTATCAAATTTAAAGATTGCCTGTAAAAGAACATTTCGAGAAACGGATATAAATCGTGAGTGATGTTAATATAAGTTTGAATGAAATCGATCAATGCGTACCTAGCAAACAGTTGGTGACATGTTGAATATGAATTTTAGGCGTTTTCTTGAGGGGGGGGGTCTAAATAGGCCACAAGTCGGTCGTACGGTAACAGAATGGCAAACTAATCGACAGATATATATTACGTACTATATTTCTTGTTATTGTGCCTACTTTGAAAAAAGTCCGATGAAGCATGGTAGAAGCATGGCATATTAAGAAGACATGGAAATGTGACAATACACAACTGGCGGTAAACGTCGCTTGACTACGCCTGCTCGATCACTATTGCTAAGTAACAGACTGTATTGGGGCCTTGGTTAGGTTACAGTCTTGTTTTTTGGTGGTTTTGCGCACCTCCGACTCAGACCTTGAGACTAGAACAGTCTGTTGATAATTATAGTGTATTTTTAGTCGCATAAATCACTAAATATCATACTTAGAACAATGGACACGTTACATAGGGTTCTTCAGCGTGTACAAATCCAAAAAAAACAAATATATCATTTTTTGTTTTGTACGCCACATTTTGCACATGTTCACACCAGCGGCAAATCTGAACAAGTAAATTCTGAAAGTAGTTTGATACCATATCGCACACATGTACTTATGTACTGCATATCACCGCAGTATGACGTCACAACTTGGTGATAATGTGTCCACGTGTATGATAAATTATAATACCCAAATTTTCAAGCATAACATTTTACATCTGAACGTGATTTTTCAAACCCATAGATTGTTCCATTACATTTGAAATAGTTATATCATAAACACAGTTAAGTGATCGCTTGTTTTCATTTTATTAGGTATATACTTATACGTTTATAAGGTTTATTGATATTTTCGGCCATTCAGTTATCATGGGAAACTAAACCATATAATATAATATATCAGCACTATAACGGTCTCCAAAAAAATCGTTTTTTTCTTCTTAAAATATCTTTATTGCAGATGTTCCGTTCTCTGAAACCCCTGTCAACATATCTACAGTGACAGGGGAACGGTTCCTGTTAAGATGTAAAGGCAACCATGGTACAGCAATATATTGGAGGAAAGACAATACCAACATTGCGAGAGCAAACGCATATAGAGACGACAGAATGTTTTTTTCTCCTGAAAACCATTTATTAGTACTTGACGCTAAATTAGAGGATAGCGGAATGTATACATGTAGTCGTTGTATCAGAAAGGCATGCAGCCAATATGATAAAGCTGATGCATGGGTCAACATCATCGAGCAACCTGATCGTCATGTGACTGGTGAGTGTATTTTGATGCATGACAAAAACTGATCATAATCATCTAAACTATCACACCAAATAAAATGGATTGACAAACAAATCATAAACTGATTTTTTTACAGGTAAACAAAGACTGACAAATTAGGAAGCACATCTCAATTTCTTAAAAAAAAAATCACAAGAGCAAGACAAAACTACAGAAAAATACACCACAATACACAGCAGACAAAAGATATCCTGTCGTCAAGGTATACATTAAGTGAGAAGACGAATGCATGCAAGCCACAATGTAATCATAATTACCAAACAAATCGGCAATATAGCACACCATACGTGGGAGAGGGCGAGATAGATACATGGATAGAGGCAAGACTATTCATTGTACTGATCAGTCGAGCAATCTATTAGTAGAGATAAGATGTACAACACTTCACAATGTATCCCACCCAAGAGGTTTGTCTGCAGTTTAGGCTATTTGGAATAATAAACTCTTGTGCCACGTTCACCCACATGATGTGACGCATCAGACTATAACAATGATACCTTGGTATAAAATCATCGATTTTGTTGGGAATTACAAGACTGGGATATTTTCTTTTAACATGCACGAGGTGTGGGAGTCGCAAGAGATATCGAACACAAGTCATTTTGTTAACATTTTTGTTTCTAGACTAAAATATCGTTTATACTTAGATTGGCAAGGAGATGTCACAACTTTGGACAAACTTAATAATTATTGTAATTTTAAAACGCGGCTTGAGCCCGAGCGTTATTTGTTTGCTGTTTCTATTCCCTATCATAGGTTTATGTTATCCCGTTTTCGTTGTTCTTCACATTGTCTTAGGATAGAAACCGACAGGAGAAATGATATCCCAAGAGATGAACGCCTTTGCCCACTTTGTGAAAACGTAGAAATTGAAGATGAATTACACTTTTTGTTGATTTATCCCTTCTTTGATGAATGTAGGAAAACGTACATCCCTAGATATTATTTTACCCCGCCCTCATATGAGAAGTTATTAACCTTGTTATTGACTGAAGACAGAAATGAATTCAAATCTCTTGCAGCCTTTCTTTTTCATTCCCTTAAATTACATTATGAAATTTATAAACACAGTGTGTGACATTACTGTTTTTGTTACTTTATATTTTATTCATAGTTTATGTATTTTGGGCCACAGGCCTTTGATTGCAATAAAGACCATCACACTAAATTAACAAGACTGGGAGGACTGATAATCTGCCAAGAAGCAAATATGATGACATTAAACCCACTCAAAATACAAAATACAAAGTACAAATTTGACTATAAAACTTGGTATAGAGACAGCTTGCAAGAAGGACTTGGTATAGAGACAAGAAGTGTATTGGAAGAAGTGTAAAAAACGTCCATTGTTGATGTGAAGTAACGTGTCAATGTTCATGAAGCACCACCTGTTAAAGATGGCAGTGCTTCAATAACCATGGCTAATTCAAGTCTAGGAAGACGAAATTTGTAATATGTGTACGTTTGCATTGCAGAAAGAATTAAAACGGATGGATGGCGTGTTAATGTAGATAAATCACCTGCTCGTATGGGCAAGAAACCACGTGTAAGTGATGGTAAGTAAAGCAAATACGTGCTCTGCACAATAAAAAAATCACATGGTCTACCATAAATGAAAACATTCGTCACATGTTACCAAGTAAAACTACTAAAGTAATGATTAATGTATGACATATATGGTATCACATCTAAAGTACATGAGGTTCAATGTAGCCTACCTCACAAAACTGTCTCGTAACCAATCATGCCATTTATCGTAGGTTACTATTAATATTCCTATATGTTCTACTACTACTACACCTGAATCGTCATTAATTGATGCTTTCGCAGAGTAGAGAACTTTTAATATGTAATTGGTAAAGTACTCTAGAATTTAGTAACACACAGATAATGCCCTTGTTTTTTTTCTTCAGGGAAGTGTGGCATTGCACAAACGAGAGCAAGAATAGTTGGCGGACAAACGGCGGAAAAAGGAGAGTGGCCGTGGATGGCAATGTTATATGACACGAGAACAGAGAAAGCATTTTGTGGAGGGGCTCTTCTTAAATCTAAATGGGTTGTAACTGCTGCCCACTGCATTGTGAAAAAGGGTGTAACAAAGAACACTTTGCGATTATATCTTGGCAAACACATTGCCGACGTGGTTGAAGACGGGGAGATTGAGGTCGAAGTTGATAAAATCACTATGCATCCGAAATTTGACAAACGAACGTACAACGCAGACATCGCTCTCATTCGACTGAGAAAGCCTGTAAATTTCACGGATTATATAAAGCCAGGTACTGTGCATCAGTTTAGTACACAAGATATGTGTACGTCACAAACACATGGTGTCTATGTTAATTAATATATTATTTTGTAGGCAGTACTCGAAATAACGTGTGGGATTGCATGTAAAAGTTTGGATATATTTTGAATGTTTGTAGAACAAACTCAAAATAGATCTTTAACAAACAAATATTGAATATTCTAATTTTTTTCTGTATGTAAAATTTTCGAACAATTTTGAATGCCCCTATATCCATAATTGGCATTGCAAATTATATGTTTCGTCAGATAATAAATAATATCACCATATCTGGTATATTTAGGCAAAAGGGTTGAAGTCTTTACATGGTAGTGATACAATTCTAAGAATATAAAGAGTGAGCAAATTCTGCTCCGCGCCTGCCATAAGGCGCCGCTATATATCAATATGAGTCATTATTATACATCTGTCACCGCAACGCCCTAAGTTATAATGTGCCGTAATTTTGTGGTATTTTACGCGGTATTTTCATCCAACCTTATAAAGAAATGCGAATTCCAAATATAGAATGATTACGCGGGTAAGCGTCCTCTAATAATAAAAACAAACATGGCTGCCGTCAGGGTTTGACCGGACTCCACACAAAGAAGTTCGCTGATTCTGTTCGAAACCTTTTGAATTTCGGCATTCCCATGATGTATCATTGGAAATAAAAGATGTATAATAATAAGGTTTTTACGAGGATACATCAAAGTATGCACTCAGACAGTACGCTTTAGCATCGACCTTCGCTGCGCATCGGTCGATACTCCAGCTGCCCTGTCTTCGTGTATCAAAAGACCATCCCTTGGCCAAAGGGGAATCAATAATTCTATGTTTGAGATTTCAAAAATTATGTGTAATAACTGTGATATTTTGAATAATGGACTTTTTGGAAGAACATGAAATAACCAAATTTACATGTATATAAAAATATCATTTGCGAATTTAAATACATCTATAGTAAATGAAATTAAAGTTGATTGCATGTAGTCTGACAGAAAATAATTATTACTTGACTAAGCTGGCATATTAGGAAAACAAATGCAAGCTGTCCCAGGAAAATCGTTTTACTGGACGCAAAATTTAAGTATTAAGGCCAGTTTTTCTCTACAAAACCTTTGATTTGATAGTTTTAAATGAAAAAAGATTGAAACAAGTCTACATATGTATCACAGGTACATAGCAAATGGGTTGGGAAATATTTACCCCAGAGGTAGGCAAGATACGGATGTGAAAGTAAGAAAATAAAAATAAAAATCATCTCTCTTGTCAAATAAAAAGCTCCCCCTTTCGCGGCATTGATCGAAATATCTAGCAGAAGAAGCATATTTCGTAGCCTCCTAAATCAACTGCATTTATCATTGGAATAAAGTCACTAAATTCAAGATTGTTGATGGAAAGTTACACCATCAATCTTAATGTGGAATTCAAGGATTTGATTTGTTTTAAACTAATTACTGTAAATAAAATCAGCTGTAAAATAATATTTATGTTCTCGTGGAAATGCTGATACTTATATAACGCCCAAATTCGACAAATAAGTTAATAAATATTCTAGCTTACTGATAATGCCCCTTTCATCAAGTAGCGGGTCACATGACCTAAGTTGAAATTGTTAGTATAAAAAATGTAAACTGATTACACTTCGTCATGTATAACGCATCTAGTTCGAGTTCTAACTTAACAACCGAGTTGCCTTGAAAACTTTGGTATTGGATTGTTAATATGCAAATTAAAGAGCATTCACAAAATCATTTTATGTATTTTTCGACTTAGTCGTTGTCCTGTGCTACTTACTACAGTATGTTAGTTTGTTAATTTTGAAGCATTTGATAGATTCAATATCAATGTGCATGAACAAACAAACTTTATTCTACCACAGTACTTTGTGTCACGCAAAATAATTAACATATTTGTGACAATGCTTTCAAATTGCAGTTTGTTTGCCATCTACAAACCTAGCCGAAGAGATGTTAAAAGCTGGCAAATTCGGCACTGTGATAGGATGGGGTGACACAAAAAGTGAAGATACAATGAACGAGTTCAGTGAACTGCGTGAGGTAAGATTAGTTTGTAAGTACATCTGCGTTTATACACAGAATTTGTTGGTACATCAGAATTTGATCCACAAATCTGTAGTGCATATACTGCTAATTTTATATGCACACAACCATGATACTACTAATATCTATTGGATATTGCATGCCATATTTGGTCTTATAGCCATATTTGGTCTTATAGCCATATTTGGTCTTATAGCCATATTTGGTCTTATAGCCATATTGTCTATTTTGCCAATATCGTTTACTCTTTGATAGAAAAGAAATACAATTTATATTGAATACTGCCTCGTCATAGATCTTTGTTTGCTTTTATTGTGTTTAGCAGACAAATGAGCCAAACATTATTATGTTTCAGGTAGAACAGTGTATGGGGTCTTGTGATAAACAAATAAAGTTTATTATTCGTCGACGGGTGAATGTGTTTTGACGTCACATGTGAATTATCGTCACATAGTGCTATTTGTATCTTAGTGTTATAATACATGTGTTTTACCATTTTAGTTTTGGTCACAGTTATACGCCAGTTAGGTTATGTGATGGATGTAAATCTTGCGATGTATAATATATAATAATTTGAACAAATATCTTACCTGAATAACTATGGTTGATGCCTATACTAATATATGTGAATATACTATTCACAGCAACTTGTGTATAATACTACTATGTCAGCACAATTTTGCTGACACTCTGTTTTCCACACTCTCCTTCAGGTTCAGCTGACAATACATGGCCATGACGACTGCAAAAATGCTCATATATTTAACGTGACTAATGACATGTTCTGCGCAGGTCCACCCCCGGGAGAAGAAGAGAAAGATGCATGTCAAGGAGATAGCGGTGGACCATATATGGGAAAGGTAGGACACTATCTCAGCACATTAAAATATTAGTAATAATAGTAAAATCACAATGATTTGAATATGTTCCGTCAAATTAGCTCAATTGTACCTCTGATAATGTTTTTGATTTTGTAATAAGAATCTGTATAGATATAGGTGGTTTAGTACATTCCGGAATGAAAATTGCGGTTGATGACGAGTGGCCGCATCCGTCGCACATATATTTTGCGTCCAGTAAAGTGATTTTCCCTGGGACAGCTTGCATTTGTTTCCCTAATATGCCAGCTTAGTCAAGTGATAATTATTTTCTGTCATGCAATCAACTGCTTGTAATGACACCTTTACTATAAATGTATTTAAATTTGCAAATGATATGTCATGTTCCCCCGAAAAGTCTATTATTCAAAAATTATTCAAAATATCACAGTTATCACACATATTTTTGAAATCTCAAACATTGAATTATTGATTCCCGTTTGGCCAATATCTATGTTCGCTAAATACAATGAGGTTATTACGGGGATACCCCAAAGTATGCACGAAGACAGTGTACCTGGAGTATCGACTGATGCGCAGCAGAGGTCGATGCGCGGCGTACTGTCTGAGTGCATACTATAAGGCAACCTCGTAATAACCTTATTATTATACATCTTTTCCTTCCTAGAATACATCACGGGGATGCTAAATTCTAAAATGTTTAGAACAGAATCAGCGAACTTCTTTGTGTGGAGTCCGGTCAAACTCTGATGGCAGCCATGTTTGTTTTTATTATTAGAGGACGCCTACACGCGTAATCATTCCATATTTGGATTTCGCATTTCCTAACATGGTAGAATGAAAATACCCCGTAAAATACCGCAAAATTACGGCACACTATAACTTAGAGCGTTAATTATTACTAGTTGTTACTGTAACATTTGTGATGAATATGTCATTTTTATATGACGTCCATTTCAAAATAATTACAGGATCTTCATCTTCACCAGTGGTATTTATTGGGACTAGTGAGTTGGGGAATGGGATGTGCTACGCCAGACACACCAGGAATATACACAGCTGTTCACATATTTCATGATTGGATTACAGGCATAACATCTGACGAATGTATCAACATTTCAGGTAATATTATTCACTGTTGTAAATATTGTGCACAAGTAAAGACACGTTTACTTTGAACTATTTACTATAAGGTATATTTGTATTATTTTGTTTAGATGCGTTGTATATTAAATACATAATTTGAATGGGCAATTAAATGAAATTTGGTTTATATAGAGGTTTATATCATTTACCATTGCTAATGCCACTCTTAGTAGTATGTGACCCATGTTTCTGGCCGTTGGTATGTTTCCCTTCGTCTTTGCTAATTTTAAACCGGCCACAGTTCATATGCACCAGTAATTTCGCAGCTTTATTCAAGATGCATCTTCTGAGTTGACGAGGAGATAGAATTTTTTCTAAATTATTTAAAAAAAATGCCCAAGAAAAGGTTTCAAACCCACAACAACAAATACAGCACATGTATCAGCCAGCGACTAAGCTATCTAACAGGTATTAAAAATGTCATGTAAAGTGTTATGCATTTAATTATTCACGAGGAAATGACAAAGCGTACAATACATCTTTTGTATTTACATAAATTAACATACATTCAGCGCTGTATTCTAGCAATGCAATCGATTGCTAAGTCCATGTTATGATTATTTCATGATATTTGTCTAAAACACTCACTCGACAGTGTGGCTTTACAGGTATAAACAACATTTTTGGCCAGTCACGTAAATTGAACGAGGGCGCCGTAACATTCAATTGCGCAAATGTGTACACTTTGGTGCGTCATTTCTATACATAATAACCCAATACCTTAATACAAGGTATGTTGGTGTAATATGCATGAAGTTGAAAAGAACATATATTACTATGAAAAATCCGGTGTACAATAAACCGCATTTATGGAAGCATGTATGTACCTGAAACAATTGTCCTATAATTTTCCTCAGTGTTCAACAATAATAACTGACGATTTATCGTTTTACCAATAATAAACTCCACACAGTGCCATACGGGATTAAAGAGCGACACCACGCTCGATAATGAGTGTGCCAAATATGTCGCATAGGAACGATCATCATTCAATTTATTGACACGTTGT